AAAGGCAGCCTGGATTAGGGCCAAGTACCGGAGCATTTCACACAAAACCTCAACGTTCAGTAGTCTTCCCTGTATTTAAACAGGTGTTTTGTCCATTTTAGCTGCAGTCCTCCAGGGTTCACTTTACAATTTTCTGGACTTAATATTGAGTTCAAAATTTTCAAATTGTGAACCAACTCCCATTCCTTTCCTTTTAGCTTGTTACATTCTCTGCCACCATGTTCTGTCTCCTCCACCCCAGTGGGACTGTCTGTCCTTCCCAATTTGGTAGTTGGACACGCCATCATTCTTCCATTCTCACATTCCGATCACTTCATATGAACTATCAATATCCCTCGTCCCTACACTCCAACCACTCCCCCCCTCAACTGTAGCATAAATGCATCCCCCTCCACACTACATCAGCTGTGATGAAAAGTCACCTAAGGTGAAAACGTTAAGCTTGTTCTCTCCTCATGGATGCTGCCTGACCTACGGTGATCTCCAGCATTTGTTGTTTTCAGTATAGATTCCAAAATCTGCAGTAATTTGCTCCTTGGCAACTTTAGAAAGCAAAGGAGTTTTCCAGATGTCCCCAGGATTGGGAGCAAATGGGGAAACAACTGACTCATTTTATCACAGCAGGAAGGCTGACGTTTCGGGCCTAGACCCTAGGCCCGAAACGTCAGCTTTCCTGCTCCTCTGATGCTGCTTGGCCTGCTGTGTTCATCCAGCTCTACACCGTGTTATCTCAGATTCTCCAGCATCTGCAGTTCCTGCTATCTCTGACTCATTTTATCAAATGTTTTCTACATTTTGGATTGACTGTGATGATTATTTCTCTTTTAAGATTGTATCACAAACTACTATACGGTTGATTTATTCAAGTATTACAGCACAGGTGACCATTCTGCTTGTCGTATCTATTACCGTTTCTGCAAGGGGCAGTTCACTGACTGCAACTATCCTGCTTATTCCCATAGTCCCCTGAAGATCCAGTCCTCCTTTAAAAACCGTGATTAAACCTACCTCCACCACACTCTCAGGGAATGTATTCTAGATCCTCAAATACAGGAAAAACACTGCGGATGCTGGAAAATCTCTTTTTTGAAACTAGTCGTGCCAGACTCGGAACATGAACTTTGTTTCTCTCTCCACAGATGTTGCCAGACCTGCTGAGTTTCTCCAACATTCTCTGTTCGTTACAGATCCTGTTACTCACTAGATACAAGAAAGTTTGTGCTCTGCTTGTCTTTGGTTAGTTCGCCAATAATATTAAATTGTTGACTTCTAGGCACTTGATCCTTCTACCATGGGAACGGTCTTTCTCTATCTACTCTCTAGACCGTCCCATCATTTTGAACTCCCAATGCACCTTAAACTTGGAGTGTTAATGTTTCGTTTCAATTTCTGAGTGTTAACTAAAATTGTAACGTGGACAATAAAATGAAGTGACCCGGTAAGTGATTATAATGTTTGAATACTTTTCTTCTAACAATGTACTTGATTAGCTTCATAAGTTTTTTTTTCTCCCCAAAATATTCCCTATTTATCCAATTTGTGCAGGTACATCCTACAGAATCACATAAATACAATGGTGCAGGAGGCCAATCAGCCCTTCGTCTTTGCCCCAGCTCTCTAAGGAGCATCATGCCATTCTCCTGCCTTTCTAGCACCAAACCTTTGCACGATGTTTTCATTCAAATATTTATCTAGTGCTCTGTTACTCTGCAGGAAGTGCTGCCTTTCTCCAGAGAGGATGTTGTTGCAGTGTTGTCGGTGGGAGGAGGCTCTCACTCTCTTTCCGGGTGTGGATTGAACTGAAGCCTGTGTAGCCTGCACCAATGGCGCTGATGGCGCAGCTCTGCAGGCGGGGCAGGGCTCTCTCCAGGGTCTGGAACCGCAAGGCTTTCCGCGACACCCCTTTCTGCTTCGGCTCCGGGCAGCAGCTCAGTCTCCGGAACTTGGCGGCAGCAAACGCGGCGGTGAGTTAGAGACCAGCGGTCACTCAACCCTGAACAAGGTGTAGTCAGTGTCAGAGCGAGGGGTGGGGGTCCTATATCAACTAATGAGAAGGAGGGGGCTTCAGGGTCAGTAAATGAGGGGGAAGGGGGGATTTCTATATCAATGAATAAGGGGAGGGGGGTTTCAGTGTCAGCGAATGGGGAGAGGACAGGGCTTCAGTGTTAATGAGTAGGGGAAAGGGGCTTCAGTGTCAATGAGTAGAGGAAAGGGGCTTCAGTGT